TATCTCCAGGCTGGAGTGCGGTGGCACAGTCTCGGCTCACTGCAACCTCCACCTCCTGGGTCCAAGCGATTCTTTTCCATCAGCCTCTTGCGTAGCTGGGACTATAGGCACCCACCACCACTCCTGGCTAATTTTTTGTATTTATTTAATAGAGATGGGGTTTCACCGTGTTAGCCAGGATGGTCTCGATCTCCTGACCTCGTAATCTGCCGGCCTTGGCCTCCCAAAGTGCTAGGATTACAGGCGTTGAGTGACTGTGCCCAACAAGACCTTACTTCTTATGGATGACCTTGTGCTCTGCTTTTCTTCCTGTGACTCATTTGAATACAAGAGTCACCCATAAGCCCATGCCATTGGTGTGTCTAAGTCATGTTGGCCACCGTAGCAGCTGAGAGGACTGGGCAATGTATGATGTTTAGGCCTGCAGTCCCCCCAGGCTGCAAGTGAACTACCCTTCCCATCTTCACAAAATGCCTCTTCAGACGTGCCTGCAACCGCAATTGGGTGGAAGGGCAGGCTATCATAATTTCCCTTCCTTAGACACAGTTCACGTGATACCTTTTGATAGACTTGTCTAGAGGTAGTAGAGTTACACCAGTGTCACTAGTTAAGTAGTATTAGTCAATAGTGCTAGTGATGAGTGAGAGAACCTAATAAGGCAGTGTTTGCCTTTCCTAAAAGATATTTTTTAGGTTGAAATTATTGTAAATAATACTAGGAAAGAAATGTCTGTGGTTTAACAGTAAAAAAGTTAAGTGATGGTAGAATCCAGGCCTAATGGTATTTGATTTCCCCCATGTAGGATGATGAGTCAGAACATGGCCCTGGTCACCCATGACTGAAGCATTTATTGTGCTAACCTGAGTATAAGGTCACTGAGGCAGCATTCCTTCACCCAGTATTGCTGGCTGACTTCCTAACCACCAGACACTGCCTTTTGTCATCTGGGTAAGAGCAGTCATTCACAAGTAACTGGGAACAGTACTTCAAATAGAAGGCCATTGATTCTGAAATTGGGCAGACTGGGGTTTAAGCCCCGACTCCTACCATTTTAATAGATGTGTAGATTGTAGTACAGCCTTTCTGTAGCTGTATCATCTGCTGGGTGGAGTGGAGTAAATAGCACCCTCCTTGCAGTGTGTGTTGTAAGGTGATGCTCGGCGCAGGCCTGGCACAGAGCAAGTGCTCCATGGTGGGCCACTGCTGTTGTGTGGTCACCATCACCACCTCCACCGTCGCTACAAACATCATCATCATTGTCCTCACTGTCACCACCACTGCTGCTGGGAGTCCTCTGCCCCTTCCTCATCTCCGGATGAGTTTTCCGTATGGCTGGGCCACTCATGCCTCTTCACAGCAGTAATTTTCTCACCCATGATCCTGGGTCCCTTGGATGTTGCCTCCTTTTTTGTGCTTGTGTGGCTTTCTCCTGCCCTTCAAGCACCTTTGGCTTCCTGTTAGACGTTCTCTTTCCTCCGGGAAAAAGATCTCTCTTCATGCTTAATAGGCATCAGAGCAGCCATGGGTCACAGAAGTCATGGTAGCTTTCTATTTGTCATCCTGACAACAAGACCTCCCTCTGAGGCTTGAAAGGATGATGGCAGCCTACCCTCACCACCTACCTTCTTAATTAGATTACTGATTCCATTTCCCTGATGGCTTTAAGCTAAAACAGCCTTATTCTGTTGCCTTTGCATTTTTCTTTCTTGACTCTATCTCTCCTTTGATCTCCAGCAATACCTAAAGTAAAGTGGTTGACAGTAGGGAGCATATTGGCCGCTATTCTTTAGCAAAGCCTCCAGAATGGGTGTATAGCAATGGATTTTAGAGAAAATATAAGGAATAATAAACGAACAGTTCAGAAGGATCCTTCCTTTCACACTGTCATGTACCAAGTGAGTTTCTGTATGTGGTCCCCTCTTGGGTTTTAGTTGTGGTTTGGTCTTCATTCTTTATGGTTGATTTGACACCTATGTGGAATAGGCCCAGTTGCCCCACTTCTCTGCTCTTGTGTATGTGTGTATACGCATGCACCCCTCTCTTTCTGAGTTCACTATCCACACACCGTGGGCATTGCACCCCACACATTAAGTGTAGTGGAATTGAGTCATGCTGTGGCATGCAACAGCCAGCTGTGGTCTAACTGCTTGCCTGCTTGACTGTGAACAAGTGTTTCCCTTCTTCACTAATGTCTAACCTCCATGACCTTGAATTTGAGCTGCCAGTTATTTGATGCAAACTCTCTGTGACATTTTTGTTAGGCTTTTGCCAAGGACATGAGTTGTGTGTTTACTGCTTTGGCATATCTGAAGATTCGAGCTTGTGAAATATTAAGTTGGTCTGCCACCCTCACGCCCCCACCCCTGCATCTAATTGACTCTAATTGACATTCATTTATTCAGCAAACATTTATTGAGCATCTACAAAGTACCAGGCAGTCTGCTGGATGTTGGCAGCATTGTTGGAAAAGGAAAATATTTTTATATAGTTGGTACAGAGGGTTTAAGATAGAGAGTTAGGGTTGATAAATGGATTTTGGAATATCTAATAAGGGGGTGGGCGTGGTGTTAGACTTCTCCCTAAGAATAGTGGGCATCTATTATAGGATTTAAGCTTAGTGAGCTATGGACAGATTTAAATTTTCGGAAGTCCACTGGCTGGGATGTGGAGAGTACATTGAAGAGCTGTAAGAAGAGACATGAGGAGCCCGCTGGGAAGCTGTTGCAGGAATTTGGGCAGGAAACCAGGGGATGGCAGTGTCATATAGTAGGAGGAAAACACAGGTTTGAGAGTGATTTAGGAGTTAACATTGGTATCAGGAGGCCAAGGCACAGTGGCTCATGCCTGTAATCCCAGCACTTTGGGAAGCTGAGGCAGGTAGATGACCTGAGGTTGGGAGTTTGAAACCAGCCTGACCAACATGGACAAACCCCATCTCTACTAAAAAAAATACAAAATCAGCAGGGCGTGGTAACATGTGCCTGTTGTAATCCCAGCTACTTGGGAGGCTGAGGCAGGAGAATCTCTTGAACCTGAGAAATGGAAGTTTCAGTGAGCCTAGGTCATGCCGTTACATACCAGCCTGGGCAACAGAGTAAAATTCCATCTCAAAAAAAAAAAAAAAAAAAAAAAAATGGTGTCGAGGATGACTCTCCCATTTCTGATGTTGGCAGGTGGGTGGATAGTGAAGTTACTGAGATCAGTGACACAGGAGGGAAGCAGGTTGGGAAGACATGGGGACAAGGGAGAGGAGATGAGTTTAGTTTTGAAGATGAATTTGCAATGCTTGTGAAAGACCTTGGAAATGTGGGGCATAGACTTGTATAAGAGGTGCAAGGGAGAGATCTGGCTTCTGTGCAGGCTTGGTGAATGCAAGGCCTGAGGACACATGCGATGGACCAGCCAATGGTGTGAAGTAGGAGACAGCATGAGGGAGATTATTTCTAAACGAATGAGAGCCTGTGGGTTGGAGGTGGAGTGGTGCTGGGACCAGACAGAAGTCAAAGGAGGGATAAGATGAGTAATAGAAGGTCTGTTTGGGTAGAGAGTTCCAGTAGGCATTGCAGCTGTGCAAGGGACATAGAGGCAGGGCACTAGCCTGGAGCGTCTGTGGGCTTGCGATGGTAGTGGGTTACATTAGGGATAGATGGAGAAACAAAGATGAACACTCACCCCAACTTCCTCCCTTGTCACACTGACTGTTCTGTGTTACACAGCCTTAAAAGAAATATTTTTAAAGTTTTTGAAACAATCACAAACTTACAGAGAAGCTGAAAATACACCACAAAAAAGGTTTTTGAACCATTTGACGGTAAGTTGGTGACCTAAGGCACAATCACCCACCATTTCTTTTATGTTAGCAGATATTTCCTACAAAAGGATATTCTTGAACACAGCCACAATGCAATCATCAAAATTGCTGTCATCTAATTCCCAGATGCCATTCAGGTTTTACCAAATGTCCCAGTCATGTCCTTTATAATGAAAGGGTCAAGTTCAGAGTCATGTGTTGCATTAACTTGTCACGTGCTGTTAGGCTCCTTCGGGCTCAAACAGTTCACAAGCCTTTCCTTGACTTTCATAACCTTGACCCTCTTGAAGGTGAAAGACCAGTTATTTTGTAGAGTATCCCTCAGTTAAGGTTTGTGTCTTTCCACATTCTTGAATTCAGCTGATGCGTCTTTGGTGGGAATATCACAGAAAGGATGATGTGTTCTTTTTGCACCCCGTTGAGTGGTGCCGAATCTAGATGTGTCCTGTTACCGATGGTGCCCACCTCGTCACTTGACTGAGGTTTGACTGAGGTGGTGTTTGCTAGCTTTTGTCTCTGTAAAGGTTAATCTCTTTCTGTTCTAATGAATATGTATTTTGTGGAGGGGTACTTTGAAACTGTGTAGCTATTCTATCCTTCGTGAAAATTTCATTTTATTTATTCATTTATTTTTTCCAGTATGGATTCGTTTCATATTTTATTCATCAAGCGATAATGTTACTATCATTATATTGACGTTTGAATTGTTCTGGATTTAGCCAGTAGGAGTCCTTTCAAACTAATTGCTTTCAACCCATCTCTAACATTCTTTGAACAATTCTTTACTTTCTGGCATAATAAGACCTACCAGACTCGTTTTGTACTTAGCCTTCTCCAGCCCCTAGAACTTGCCATTTTCCCACAGAACCCTGATTTTTTTTTTTTTTTTTTTTTTGAGATGGAGCCTCACTCTGTTGCACAGGGTAGAGTAGAAGGAAGGAAGGAAGGAAGGAAAAAAGAGAAGAGAAAGAGAAAGAAAGAAAGAAAGAAAAAAGAGAAGAGAAGAGAAAAGAAAAGAAAAGGAAAGAAAAGAAAAGGAAAAGAAAGAACATCAGGAATATGCCCCTTGCTGGGAAATCCACTCTGCCTCCCTTGATAGACAGTCCCCAGAGGATGAGGGACTATAACTGAGTCATTCAATACTGTATCCCCAGGGCCTGGCATGTGAAGTAACTGGTGAACATTTTAGGACTTGACCACATCCCACCAAGTCGTTGCCCAGCCTGTCTCTGAAGACCTCTCCTTTTCCTGTAGTATCTCTTTCTTTTCAGTTTCCCTAGAAGCTCGTATCCTTCCTGCTGGAAGCCTTCCAGGCCCTCACTACCCAGAGGGATCATTATCCCACAAGTTTCTGAAGCCTTTAGAGAGATTTTATAACCTAGGAGCTAAGACCATCAGCTTTGGAGTTATCAGAGCCACGTTGGGTTTCCAGCTCTACTACTTACTAGCCACATGATCAGGAGCCTGTCCTGGAACCTTTCCCCAGTCAGTTGAATAATCTGTAAAATGGAGAAAGGAACAATGGCCACGTCATGATTTTTGTGAGGATTAAATGAAACAACATTTTGGAAGTACTTAGCAAGGGTCTGTACTTTGTGTTAGTGTGTATAATTATTATATGAGACTGCATGTGTCATGAATTTATGTGAAGTACAATCCCTTTCCCCAACTTGATGATAAATTTCAAATTGGGATAGAGGCCTTGTTTCCTACTTCCTATTTGTGTCTAAACCCCCGACCCCCTGCATCTACCTGCCCAACCCATCCTAGTACGGTGCTTTGCAGCCAGTATTAAATATATGTTGAATTGTCATTGAACAGTCTTCTTTCACTCTGTGATCCTTCTACCTGTACATGATCTTGCTAATAGAGCAATTTCCTACCCTTTTGTCAGAGTGCTGGGGAGATACTGATTGTTTTTTCCAGCCTTTCTTCTTTTTTGATTATGAATCAATATTCTGTATGGCATGGTCGATGTCACAGTCTGCTGCCCCAGGAAGTGTTGTTTTCTTTGCTTTCTCCTTAATGCAGGTGCTATCCTGGGTCCCTATTGTACTCTTAGGCTCTCTGTAGACAAAAAGTGGCTGAACAATTGCCCTCTGTTTTTACCCTTTCAGAACTACGGCAACAAACTCCCACAAGTTTTAAAAACACAATGCATTGCTGACCTGGTTATCTTCTAGCCCTGGGGGTCTTTATGGTAAGGCCTTTTAGCAACTGGATTGGGTTTTGTGAAACTATAGCAGTCTGAGATACAGTGGATAATGAGCCTGCTTGCTCCTGAGCACCAGAAAAGGAATTTCTTAAAAATAATTCATGTTTGTTGAAATAATGTCCCCTCACTACTTAGGACTGACTTCTGCACTTGATAGGTGTGATCTGCTGGATTGAGTTAATCAACATCTATTCTGTCATTGCTCTGATGATTGTGCTCTGATGCTTTCCTGAGAAAAGATACCCCAGGGCTTATCAAATGATCTCTTTCTTAAAGATTTATAATCCATTATCTTTGAGGTAGAACTGGAAAGAAATGCTAGAGATAATTCACAGGGTTATTTATTGTAAAACAAACAGCATTTAGGAATGTGTAACTGGTAGCAGGGGATACAGGAGGAGTTAAGAGCTAGGGCACAGTGTTTGGTCTTCTGGGTTCAAATCCTGCCTCTGCCACTTACTAAGTAGCTCAGTGACCAAGGGCAATTTGTTTGTCCTCAGTTTTCTTGCCTATAAAATGGATTTGGTGGTTCAATTTTAATATCTAATCTTGGGCTTGTTGTAGGGTATTTTCAAGATGGATGGAATACGTAGAATCTGGCATATTGTAAATACTCATTAAATGTATTTTGTTATTTTTTAAATCTATTTTGCTACTTTTATTATAATCTGTGTTACAGGAAGAGGGCAGAAATTAAAAATACAACTTTGTAATTATTTAGAATGGTCAACGTCTGTGCAGTTCCTAGGAATTAGAGAAATCTATACTTAGTATATGTTGCATAGACAGAGGATCCAATGTCCTATAAAACACACATAGAACTCGTGTGGAGTGAATGGCACTCATGTACGCTACTAGTGAGAATGGAAAATGGTACCACCTCTTTGGAAAACGGCTTGGCAATTTCTTCCAAAAATTAGTCATGCACCTATCATGTGTCCCAGCCATTCTACTTGACGTTTACCCAAGAGAAATATAAGCCACACCCTTGCAAATACTAGTAGGTGAACGTCCAAGGCAGACCATTGGACACACGCACTCTTTACTGTGAGCTTTATTTGTAATAACCCCAAACCACCCAAATGTCCATTCACATATGGGAGGATCAAAAAATCATGTTATGTCCATTCAGGGGACTAAGAATAAGCGTTAAAGACAAATAATATATCAGTATATGCAACAAGAAGGATCAGTCTCAAAATAATTATGCTGAGTAACAAAGCCAGGCCAAAAAATAAAAAAAGAGTGTATCCTATAAAGTTCCTTTCATACAAAATTCTGGAAAAATGCAAACTAATGGATAGTGACAGGGAACAGATGAGTGGTTACCAGCGGAGAGTAGAAGGCAAGAGCTGAGGGGGAGCTGATGAGCTGATTTACAAAGTGGCATTGGAACACTTTTGGGGCTAATGGCTGTGTTTATCATTGTGATTGTCCGGATGGTTTCACAGGTGTATCCAGATACTGAAACTTATTTGTGTACTATAAATATGGGCAGTTTATTATATATAAATTATGACTCAAGAAAATGTGTGCTTTTAAAAAGGCAGGCTTACTGTACAAAATACCAGTACATTTTGCTGTGCTGCTATGGCACAAGATTCATCAGCTAATCATAAACATTTATTCAATCGTTTATTAGCTATTTTGTTTTCTTTTGGAACATGTAGCAGTTTATTAGGATTTTGGGGGAACAATAGGGCTTCGAGAATTTGAATTAAACTTTCCTGCCTTTTGATCACGTCCTCTGTGGCAGATAAGGGATTTTGTAATTACTGTATTGACTTTATAATTAGTCATTACAGCATCTAACTAAAAGTTTTTGTAAACTTTCAATTTTGCTGGTTGGATATCTAAATGGCCCTCTACTTCTTTTAAAAAAAAATTTCTAGTTTTCTCACTCTTGCCGGGCACGGTGGCTCACGCCTGTAATCCTAGCACTTTGGGAGGCCTAGGTCGGTGGATCACCTGAGATCAGGAGTTCAAGACCAGCCTGGCCATCATGGTGAAACCCCATCTTAAAAAAAATAAAGTAAAATTTAAAAAATTAAAAAAAAAATAGTTTTCTCACTCTTTCCTCCCTACACCTTTCTTCTCAGAATAATATTCACTTCTTCGTTGTAAAAGGATTGCAAAGGAAGCCACCTTATTTGACATGACTAGATTTATATTTAATACTAAAATAATTGTAATTTTCTCAGTTAAAACTGAGAATTGTAAAACATACATACATACATACACACACATTTACACTTTGACATAAAGAATATGTGTGTCTTCAACAGATGTCTCTGAATGTGGTTTTGATGACTTCACCATCTTTTCATCCCAATTCACTCCTGTGCTGTGGAGAATACAGTTTTTAGTTTGTTTTTTTTTTTGTTTTTTTTTTTTTTTTTTTTTGAGATGGAGTTTTGCTCTGTGCAGTGGTGCGATTTTGGCTCACTGCAACCCCCGCCTCCCAGGTTCAAGTGGTTCTCTTGCTTCAGCCTCCTGAGTTGCTGGGAATATAGGCACCCGCCACCACACCTGTCTAATTTTTATATTTTTGGTAGAGGTGGGGTTTCACCATGTTAGGCTGGTCTTGAACTCCTGACCTCAGGTGATCCGCCCTCTTCAGCTTCCCGAAGTGCTGGGATTGCAGATGTGAGCCACCATGCCTGGCTTAGTTTGCGTTCTTTAAAGAGAAATATAAATTTAAAAGATACTTGAAAAGTCATCTGAAAACAGGTTCCTTTATACTTAAAAAAATTCTCGCTGGGCGTGGTGCCTCACGCCTGTAATCTAAGCACTTTGGGAGGCTGAGGTGTGTGGATCATGAGGTCAGGAGTTCAAGACCAGCCAGACCAACCTGGTGAAACCCCATCTCTACTAAAAACTACAAAAATTAGCCAGGCCTGGTGGCAGGCGCCTGTAATCCCAGCTACTTGGGAGGCTGAGGCAGGAGAATCTCTTGAACCTGGGTGGCAGAGGTTGCAGTGACCAGAGATTGCGCCACTGCACTCCAGCCTGGGCAACAGAGTGAAACTCCATCTCAAAAAAAAAAAAAAAAAAAAAAAATTGTCTTAATCCATTGACAGATGTCTGGCCCTCAACCTAATTTGGCAGTAATTTTTCTTTTTTCGCAACTCACAAAAAGCATTGTATTGAGTTTTCATAGGAACAGTAACTCTTTCTTTTTGTACTCATACTTCTTTGGCCTATAGTATATTTAAATATGCAATTGCATAATAAATACAACTGGTCTGAACAGGTTTGAGAACAAACACACTACACTAGCAGGTCTACCATGTATGTACAGCCCACCCACTGAAGAGTGACTTTTGATTTGGCAAACTGGTTAGGCAGAGCTTGATTATGAGATTGCCTACTGTATATGCATGCTGTAGGAAATCAAAACACAGCAACCAGAAATCATTTGTAAAGCCCGATCTTAAAGACAATACAATTTACTCTTAACATTTAGGTAGATTTTCTTTTAGTCTTTTATATGAATATGCATGTGTGTATGTATATAGTTTATATCATTTTGTATCCTGCTTATGAACAAAGCAGTGATGGATATATTGGAACATACAACCTGATGTTGATCTTTATTGCAGTAAATTCTTAGAAATGAAATTATCAATCAAAAGAGTGTCATCATATTTATAACCCTTGAATACTATGGCCATATTGACTGCCAAAAATACAGTGCCCTCTCTGAAGGGGAGTGTGTGGGATTCTCCATATTTCTTGTCAGCATGATGGGTGTTGAGACTCCTGCTAAGATGATAGAGAATATCTTGTTTGGATTTGGAGAATAACATTTTTTTGGGTATCTATTTCCTTGTCATTTGCATTTGTTCTTTTGTGAAATTTTTATTACTGTCCTTTAACCATTCCACCCCCCCACCCCCAACCATTTTGTATCAGGATATTTGTTTTATTTTCTTACTAAGCTTTTAAGCTCCAGATAGTGTCTCTTTGGTACATAGTAACCTTTTGT